CCAGATGAAGAGGGGAAAAGCTCCAGGAAAAGATGGAATAACGTCAGAAATGATTTCTGCAGGAGGTGAAAAACTTTGGAAGGCCCTCGCTTTAAGATTCAGTTGATATCTTGAAGAAGGAAAAATACCATCAAGCTGGAAGGAGTCGAATACCATCTTGCTGCACAAGAAGGGCGATCGAGAAAATCTTAAGACGTACTGCCCTATCTGCCTGCTCTCTCATATTTACAAGCTCTTTACAAAGGTAAAGAACCGACTTTCACAGAGCTTGGATGAACAACAGCCAAGAGAGCAGGCAGGGTTTCGAAGAAATTTCAGCACGATTGACCATATATTTACCCTTAGCCAGCTCCTAAAAAGAGCGAGGGAATACAAACTTCTGCTGTGCATTGCTTTCGTCGACTATGAAAAGGCCTTCGATAGCATCGAGTTCAACACAATATTAAAGGCGCTCGCAGAGCAGGGCATTAACGCTCAATACATCAATTTGTTGAAGGAAGTGAATACTGGATGTACAACAGATATTACTCTCCTCGAAACTCCCCTCCATATCCCAATTGAGAAAGGCGTGAAGCAAGGAGATATGATTTCACCGAAACTATTCACTGCATGCCTTGAAATGGCTATGAACAAGATCAATTGAAGGAGTGGTGCCAACATAAATGGAGAACGATTATCTCATCTCAGATTTGCGGACGACATAACCGACGACATTGTATTAATTGTCAAAAGCACCAACCAATTGCAGAGCATGCTACGAAGACTTGACAAAAAAGCAGTCAGGTCGGTCTGAAAATGAACTGCTGCAAAACGAAATACATGCGATCAGACGCCTTACGAAAAGCCCGAATAACGATAACAGGAGAAGAAATCGAAGAAGTGGAACAGTACATATATTTGGACCAAGAAGTTAATATGCGCCAAGACCTAAACAGAGAACTCTCACAAAGGATTCAGGCAGGATGGTGTGCATTCAATTCCATCAAAGACATCCTCAAAGGGAAAACAGATAAGACCACACGTACAAATATCTTCAATTCAACAGTGCTGGCAGCCATGTTGTATGGCAGTGAAACGTGGGCACTGATGAAGAGAGAAGAGCAGCGACTATTGGTAGCTGAAAGGGCAATGGAGTGAGCTATGTTGGGAATTTCCCTTCTGGATCGTATTCCAAATGAAATGAACAGAGAACTCAGCGGTATGAAAGATATTATCATGGAAAGCAGACATAACAAAATGCGACGGGCAGGCCACACAGCACGGCTCACGGACAACAGGTGGACTGCATTTATTACTGAGTGGTACCCGCAAGAACAGAAAAGACCACCCGGTCGGCCTCCAAGAAGATGGGAAGATGACATTGTTAAATGTTTTGGACGAACATGGAGAAGAAAGATAAGAGTACAAGAAGAATGGGATGCGAAAAGAATGGTGGACATGTTGTGATCAGCGCAGTCTTAACGATAACCGAAGACCGCTCAATCCCAGGTGATCCATCCATACAGCTAGCTTCTTAGCCCAGGAAAGCTCAATTTTATACCCATCCATTTCAAGGCCTTATTGATTACACAGAAACTTAGTCAAAACCTCTACCCAAGATGGCCTACCATTCCCAGGGGGGTTCCACATCTTCCCTATGCCTCTCCAATCCTTGCTCTGGTCCAACACCAAACCACTGGAGTCTCCCTGCAATTCTCACTTTCCATATCAGCTGCCTGTACTTTGTAGCAGGGTTCTTTCCCCTGTTTCATGGCCTACTACAGGAGTCCACCCCTTGCAGCCCTTCAGCTCAACTATGTTCGATGGCTATCACCTGGCACCCTAACCCTACACCTCAGCTGGGAGGCAGTGAATTAGTCACAGCTGGGGCTGGACCAATCTTCCCTGTGATCTGGTAGGACATTGGTAAAATTTCTAAAGAAATTAAAAATCCAGGGCACTATGAAATGTCTTAAAATTGAGAAAACACTTAACAATTGCTTGTTAGTATATGTTGCCTGCTCAGCTCAATTTCAAGCCTCTACATCCAATTTGCAACCCATTTGCTGGCACTGCTGGCAAGCAAATTAAAACTAGAGATCTTAGCCCACAAAATCTGGAGGCAAATGTCACACGGTCTAAACATTTTGAGGTGATTGGACCCCAAGTATGGTTCTGAACTGAAAACAAAAAGAATTGATTTCATTTGCTAAAACACCATGTTCCAATTTTTGTGATTGCTTGGATTCAAATCTGCCATTCACTGGAATGTTACAACTGAGCACACAAAGAATGGTAATGAACTGTTATATTTGTGTCAAGGAGGATTAAATCAGCAGAATAACACAATGGTACATGTGAAAAAGAATTACTGTTATACATGCATTATGCATTTTGCATCAATATTTTTGCAGAAAGAGACAATTTACTGTCCAGAATGATCACACATTATTTAAAATAGTTCCCTAAACTAATCTGGCAGATGCAAACCAAATTCACAATCCTTATTCTAAGATAAACAACTATACTGATACAGAGCTGAGGTTGGGACTGTAATCAGTAATTCAATAGTAAAAAAATACTATAAGGCTTCGTCTACACTGTAGGCTTTTTGCGCAAGAATGGCTGTTCTTGCGCAAAAACTTGTCGGGTGTCTACACTGAATGCATGTTCTTGCACAAGTAAATTTACAGTACAGCGTCGGAAAACAGGGCTTCTTCTGGAAGAGTTATTCCTCTCCCCACAAGGAATAAGTCCTCTTGCACAAGAGCTCTTCCATAAGAAGGCAGTGTAGACAGACAACATGATTTTCTTGTGAAAGAAACCACTATGGCTAAAATGGCCATGAGAGCTTTCTTGCGCAAGAGAGCGTCCACACTGCCATGGAATGCTCTTACGCAAAAGCACATGGCAGTGTGGACACGCTTTTGTGGAAGACCTTTTGCACAAGAACCCTTGCGCAAAACAGTTCCTGCACAAGAAGCCTGTAGTGCAGATGTAGCCCAAGAGTAATGTAGTTATCCCAAAACCAAGCAACACAAACACAGGGATAGGGCCCAGAGTGACCTAGACAAATTGGAGAATTGGTCCAAAAGAAATCTGATGATCAAGTACAAAAGCAGAGTCCTGCATTTGGGATTGAAAAATCCCAAGTACTGCGAGATCAGTGGTTCTCAAAGTGTGGTCAACGGACCACTAGTGGTCTGTGGCCACCTCCTTGGTGATCTCTGGCCCGAGCTCAGCCCTCCCTCTTCTCCCCAATGCAGCAGGGAGCTTGTGCTGCTGCTCCAGTCTCATGGTCACAGCAGAGCTGCGAAGCACAAAAACCAGCTCCAGCTCCTGTCGCCTGCCCATTCGAACGTCACTTGTGCTGCTGCTCCAGTCTCGTGGTCACAGCAGAGCCACGAAGCACAAAAACCAGCTCCAGCTCCTGTCGCCTGCCCATTCGAACGTCCTGAGAAGCTGCGTCACTCAGCTGAGTCACATTCCTCCTTGGGTGGGTGGCAAAGGCTAGCCAGGTCAGCAGGGCCTTTAAGCAGCTGTGCACAGCTGCCATCTGGCAGGCTCATTAAGGGGGTGTGTACATCCGGGAGGCCCTGAAGGAGAGTTTCTCACAAGGACCCCATGACACTCTCCACTGGGCTTCCCCACTAGGGGCCTGAGTCAACCACTTGGCGGGAAAGGACTGCACCTCTCCCCAGAATGCGGTGCAGGTCCTGATAACAGGGGCAGGATCTAGGGGCCTGAGTCAACCAGTTGGCGGGAAGGGACTGCACCTCTCCCCAGAATGTGGTGCAGGTCCTGATAACAGGGGCAGGAGTATGGTTCTGTCCTGGAGTGAGAGCTGCACTTTCTCACCCTGGCATATGCCTGGTGGAGCTCCTTAACTTTCATTCGGAGCTGCTCCTGGGTCCAGATGTGGCCCTTTGAGGTCAGGCTGTCAGCCATGCAGCCATAGATTTCAGCATGGTGCCATCTGGTGCAGAGATCCTAGAGGTTTTCCTCCTCGCCCCAAACCTGGGGGCCAGGATCTCCTCCTCGCCCCAAACCTGGGGGCCAGGATCTCCAGGACAACGCTCACCTCTTGTGACACCTGGCATGCTCCTGGGAGCCATCAGAATGCTTCCTGAGAATAAGGGAGGGCTATGAGGGCCTGCTTTCTGCCACAAGCCCTTTCCCCTATGGAGTCCTGATGTGTATGGACAGAGTGGCCAGCAGGACACCTGTGGGATTTCCTGGAGGCCCCTTATTTCGAAATACAGGCAGTCCCCGACTTATGCGGATCCGACTTATGTCGGATCCACACTTACGAACGGGGCTTTTCTCGCCCCGGAGCTCGTGGGCGGCGGGACCGCCCAGAGCGCAGCGGTCCTGCCACCGCGTCCTCCGGGGTGAGAAAAGCTGCTCCAGTTCTCCCTGGTGTGCTGGGGGGGACTCCCCCAGCACAGCAGGGAGACAGGAGCAAAGCCGCAGAGGCGGCGAGACCTCAGCGCCTCCGTGGCTTTGCTCGGGTCTCAAACATTAAAAAAACATTTTCAGATGACTACAGGTCTCTGCATGTCCAACTCCTTGCTGCTCTTTATGAGGTTAACACTAGGGTGTTCAGGGAAATATAATATTTTACTTTTATAGCATAACTATTCAATCCAAAAGTTTTCTACTTCCATGCAGTTTAGGATCACTGTGTTGGAGAAATCTGCCAAAGTGTAAAAGATGTCTACAGACCTCTGTTAATTTTTTTTATGGTGTGTCTACACAGCACAGTTATTTTGAAATAACTGATGTTATTTTGAAATAACAATGTGAGCATCTACGCAGCAATTCCATTATTTCGAAATAATTTTGAAATGACAGCTTATTCTGACTTCTGTAAGCATTGGCTGCGTCTACACACACCCTATTCTGAAATAGCTATTTCAGAATAGGCATTATTCCTCATGGAATGATGCTTACAGAAGTCGGAATAAGCTGTCATTTCAAAATTATTTCGAAATAATGGAATTGCTGCGTAGATGCTCACATTGTTATTTCAAAATAACATCAGTTATTTCAAAATAACTGTGCTGTGTAGACACACCATAAAAAAAATTAACAGAGGTCTGTAGACATCTTTTACACTTTGGCAGATTTCTCCAACACAGTGATCCTAAACTGCATGGAAGTAGAAAACTTTTGGATTGAATAGTTATGCTATAAAAGTAAAATATTATATTTCCCTGAACTCCCTAGTGCTAACCTCATAAAGAGCAGCAAGGATTTGGACATGCAGAGACCTGTAGTCATCTGAAAATGTTTTTTTAATGTTTTGGTATAATTTAGTATTTGCCACAAAGCATGCGTTTTACCCCATTAAGCATCACATGATTAAAAAAAGATATTTAATCTTAAATCTTATATGATATTTTCAAAAAACCTCAGTGTTAGCACAACTCTTAGTGACTTCCAGACTTACACCAGCTGTACAGACTTTTGAAAATCCTGCTCTTAGAAGCCTGACATGGAATATACAAAATGACTGACTACCTCAAAGTTACAAGAAATATTCAAATTATATATACTGATTTATTTGTTAAGAAACACCAGCACCCATGTCTTCAAAGTGGTCTAGCTGGAATCACTCTGAATGGTAACGTTTTATTATTGCCAGATCTTGATATCTCCAGTCCAATCACACGTTGCCAGAAGTGATGGAAGGACTGGATGAAAAGTTGCACTCACACATGCTTCGTTATGTGCAGACAATGTTTGAGTTATTCTAGCAGTGTGATAGTTATAGAAAAATACTTTTCCCTCTGAACTTCCTGTCACTAGAAGCATTCCATCTGGAGAAAATTCACAGCCCACTGCAAATCCTTCTACCTGTAAAGAGTGAAGATTAAGAGTGTATATCAATATGCTAATTAGGAAAATTTAATTCAACCTCTTGAAAATGCAGCAATATAGTAAAAATGTCACTTTTTATACAAAATGCTCTAATTATTTCCCCAGGTATTTATTCCAACAGATTTATTACAACCTTAAATTGTTAGCACTAGCCAATCAATAATTGGTGAAGCTATTAACAATTCACAAAGTCTTCCATTATTTCAGTCCCCAATCCATTGTCTTTATATTTGTATCATTCTAATTAACTACATTACAGGAAACCAGACAGGAAAAGAAGCAAGTCAATTAATGTCTATCCTTATTTGTAAATCAACAGTATCAGCAAACATGTTAAGGGAACAGAAATTGTGTTATATTACTTATAGTCGTAAATATTTTAAGTTCCCAGTGAAGAATAATACCTTATGCCCTTCATATCTTTTCCTTTTGTTGATTTTGTATGGTCGTTGGGTAGAAAACAATGCCATGTAGTTTCCATTTGTCTGAGCAACAAATGCAGGTTCTCTAGGGTGCAGCGTAAGACTCGGACAGGTATAACGCTCCTAAAAAATAGTTGAGAAGATAACATTCCTGTATTTTTGTTGCTAGAAATATAGTCTTGTTCAAATTAATCAAGCAGTCTTTTGTAGATCTAATATATCTGAATAATCAGAAGATGGGAGAGCACTGACCTATTTTAGATATGTAACTATGAAGAAACTTAAAATCATCCATGCCCAATTTTCTCAATACACACTCCTGAAAGTTTACATGGGGTAAATATTAAATCTGATGTCTGTCTATCTTAACTAGCTGGGCTGAGTGGAAGCTGAGCAAATGCATAGGGAAGAATTATTCCCTTTACAAAGGGATACAAAAGCAATTTTAGTTCAAAAGCACTCAAGCAGCCTCTGGGAAGACTAAAGGTCCCATGGTCTCTTCGACAGTATGAGCAATCCACTGTGGGTATGTATCCCACAGTGCAGTGAAGTGGGAAGGCAGAGCTAATCATTGCATCTTGGGATTCCTTCCAAGTTCTCTCCCAGCCTCCTCAGCTGCTGGCAGTGGCATCATGAGTAGCTCTGTGAGTTTTCTGTGCTGAGGAATGTGAAAGCAACACAGCAGCCTATACCCCTCCCTTGCAGCAGCACCCTGCCTGCCGCTGTGCTCTTCATGCAGGACAGAAAAGGAGCAGTTCAATAATTTGTTCTTTGTTTGTAGAACAAAGCAGCTCACTCAGCTGTCAGATACTTCCCAGAATTCTGAAAAGGGAGGGGTGCATGCCTGTCAGACAGCAGAGATCAAAACACTGAGCAGAGCCATTGGGGCAGGCATTGTGGGATACTGGCCAAAGCCAGTTCTGTGGACAAAACAGCCAGCAGTGTCCACTCTGGTTCTTTGTTGACAATAAAGGGAGAAGGGATGGAAGTTTTTTGTCACAGAAACTGGATGTTTTTCTTTGACAAAAGTCACATTGTAATGTGTATATCCGAATGTTTTGACACCAAAAGGCAGTTTTTGGTGATAAAACTTTGTAGTGTAGACAAAGCCTAAGTGTCTTGTGAAGCTGCAAGCATTTTTTGACAATTGAACAGATAAATGAATTACTTGTTTGGACTGCTACATATTGCAAAGAATTCTATACCTGTGTTTGCTGAAGTAATTATTTTGCCAGCACCATTTTGCCTCTGCTATTATCCTTTGCTATGTATTTACATGCATTTACTTTGCTATTGATCAAACATTTAATTGATAAAATACTTCATCTGTGATCAGCTTAAATATATCATTTCTGCAGTCTTGGGAAAAGGACTGGAAAGGGAAAGGTGATACTGTAACAAATACTTTGGTACACAATTGGCAGGACACACTGACATTTCTACCTGTGTACCTGCCTAACCCTATCTGAAATGTCAGTAACTAGCCAGTGAAATGAAAATCCTTTTCCAAGGAGGGCACTCACAATTCTCTAGGTGACTTCACTCATAGTTAGAGAATAAATAACGGTTCCTAAAATAAAACAACAGCTCTCACTTTTTAGTAAGTTGCATTTTACACATCACTGTAAGGTTATATTAGCTTATTTCAAATTGTACATAAGTACTGTGATTTAATACAAGCTGCATTCATCCCTATTTGCGGAAAAATTGATCAATAATTCACAGCAGTTCCTAAAAAAAACAAAAGCTTTTTACTCTCCTCACAATGTACCAAATCAGTATTCAAATAATAATTGTTAACCCTACATGAAATATCTGGTTGGAAATCTTTGCAGAGCTGTGGAAATCCCATGCAATGATCGTGCGGTCAGCTGAGTCCCGGCTTACTGCATCTGTGCTTGTAAGAAATTCTTTTCCTTCAGGAAGGAAGAGGACATCCAAGGTCTGTTGTACTGCTGCTTTGTAGGTTTTTATCACCTATGTAACAAGAACAACCATTATGCTGGGACAGATTCTATTTCACACTGTAAGTGAGGGCATTTAAAGTTGTGACAAGTATATTTTCATAGCATAAACTCGGGTATGCCATTAAAACAGTGGTCTCTAGACCCACTCTGCCCCCAGGCACAGCTCCACTCCGTCCCATGGATGTTAAATTTCGATTAATTAGCTAATCAAGTAGTTAATGGAATTTCCATCGACTACTCTATTAGTCGATGGGGGAGGTGGGGCACTTGCTATCTCAGTTGCGCTTCGGTCTTTTAAATGTAGCAAGAACTGCCTATGGCTCTTATTACATTTAAAGGCAGAAGAGCAGAAGGAAACATGGTGTGCCTCTGCCTCTCCTACCCCCCACCCCACATGAAGACGGTGCTGGAGGGAACCGTCTTTTAAGCCAGATCCCCCCAGCACTAGCTCCTGCTCCCTCGCCTTGCTGCCTCTCTCTGACAGAGGCAGCAGGGAGCAACTAGTTGAGTCACTACTTGACTACCCGGTGAGTATATGCTTAGTCACTTACATCCCTACTCCATCTCCTGCTCCATCCTTGGCCTAGTACTGCCCTTCACTCCTCCACGTATTCACCAGGCGAACTCCACCTCTAGACCCATCTCCTCCTCCATCCCCAATTTTGACCCCAGCTCTGCCCTTCAGTCCAAATGCCTATGCTGAGGAAGCCTTGGCTGTGTACTAATGGGGAGGGAGCGACATGAACAAATTCTATTACTGGTGATGGGGCAGAGAAACAGGACAGGAAAGGTTTGGGCACCATTGCATTAAAGCCACATAAAGCATACTTTTAAATACAGATATAGGATAACAGAGTAGAATGCTTGTATTTAAAAGGTACTTTATTATATCTGTTTATTAAGGAACCATTATTATAACCTCACACAATATGTATTTAATAACTCATAATGGAAAATTAAATAATAAATAGGAAGCATTACAGCAATTCCTCATTTAACACTATAGATAGGTTTCAGAAAATGATCGTGTTAAGTGAAAACGTGTTATGCAGGGTCAATTTTCCCATTGAAAATAATGGAAAAGGTGGGGGTTGCATTTCAAGCGATAGTGTCTGTTGGGACCGGGACATAAGTTTGGGGGAGAAAGGGGACTGGGTTACAGCAGGGAGGGGAGGTGTTTGGCTCTGGGGAAGGAAAGAGAAGGGAAGGGAGGGGAGAGGGATTGGGTTGGGATTATGCCCCTGTGATGGGTCTGCCGGGACCTGCACTGCGTCCAGTGAGAGGGGGTTGCTGGGGAACAGCGCGGCAAGTGGCGAACTGTCTGCCGCTTTGCAGGGGAGCGGGGAAACCCTGTGCAGCTGCTGGCAACGGGCCGGCTGGAGAAATTGTGTTATTCCAGGGACAGTTGTGTAATTCAAAAAACATTCCCTAAAAAAAAAAAATCGTGCTATTGCAAAAACGTGTTAAGCAGGCACGTGTTAAATGAGGAGTTACTGCATTTCATTATTTTCTTATAAACTTCTATCAAACCTTTTTAAGAGATTAGCCTCTTTGTTGCAGAAACAAGGAAACAAACACTTGTTAGTGCCACTTTATGCTCCTTTTTATTTTATAAATTTAATGCTAAATTTCAATGCCATTTGCTAGTGCATCAAAAGTACTCAGGAACTGTAGCTGTGGAATCCAACACAAGTCTTGAGGGCCAAAGACCCCACAAAGTTGGCTCAACCACTCCTTCTTCCGAGAAGCAGCATTTGCGATTCCACCTACCAACTACCATTAATGGTAGCCAGAGAGTTCACAGATAGCATAAAAGGAAGCAGTGACTTCCAAAGGATAGGTTGAACAGCTTTGGAAGTGGTCACTGTGGCGATTGGTGAGTTCTATAGAGACAGCTTCAGGGGATAGTCGAGTTAGTCTGTGAGGGCACGTCTACACTTGCTCCCTAGATCGAACTAGGGATGCAAATGTTGCTGACCAAAATTGCTAACGAAGCGGGGATTTAAATATCCCGCGCTTCATTAGCATAATCTCTCGCAGGCGCTATTCCGCTTGCCAGCTGATCTGAACCAGAAAGTGCGTTCCAGGATACTTTAGTTCGAATCAAACCCCTTGGTTTGAACTAACGTTATGTTCCAGGATGCTTTAGTTCGAATCAAACCCCTTGGTTTGAACTAACGTTACTCCTCATTTTTTGACGGGTGATGCTCTGTCTTCCAGCCTCCTCCATTTTACTTTCTCTCCCTCCTCCCCTTTCCCTCTCCTATTTATTTCGAGTTTTCATATCCCCAACTCATAATTCTGGTCATCTGAAGAAGTGGGCTGTGCCCACGAAAGCTCATGATACCATCTCCATGTTTCGTTAGTCTATAAAGTGCTACCAGACCATTTGTTGTTTTTTCCTATAGAGACAATGAGGCTGGTTCTCTTTCCCCCTTTTGATTCTCTAGGACCAACTATTATGAGGGTCCATAAATCCAGTGCAGAGCCAGCACACATGGCAGTGAACAGCTCTCATGATGTTTAGTGCACTTTGACATAGGCCCAAGATTTGATTGACAGGTATTAAAACAGGAATTTATCTCAGTCAACTGATGGAATATATTCTGGTGTCTACCTCTCACTAATAAAACTGTATATATAGATAAACTATTTTAAATGTTAAAAACTCTCAGAGAGGTAGCCGTGTTAGTCTGTATCTTTAAAAACAATGAGTAGCCCTGTGGCACCGTTGGGTATATCTACACTACGAAGTTAATTCGAACTAACAGCCGTTAGTTCAAATGAACTTTAATAGCGGCTATACATACAAACCGCTAGTTCGAATTTAATTTGAACTAGCAGAGCACTTAATTGGAAATAGGTAAACCTCATTCTACGAGGACTAACGCCTAGTTCGAATTAAGTAGTTCGAATTAAGGGCTGTGTAGCCACTTAATTTGAAGTAGTTGGAGGCTAGCCCTTCCCAGGTTGCCCAGGTGGCCACTCTGGGCCAAACCAGGGAAACTTTTCTGCCCCCCTCCCAGCTCCAGCGCTCTTAGAGGGGCATGGTCTGGCTACAGTGCTCGTGCCAGTTGCAAGCCTGCCAGCACCCAGCCAGCAGACCCTGCACCTGGCACACCATGAGTCAGTTACCCGCTGCCACCCAGCCCTCTGCCTCTTCCCAGGACCAGGCTGGCGGATCCCAGGAGCCTGCCCGGGGCTGCAAGAGGGGGGCACCCACCTGGTCTAGTGTGGAGATCATGGACCTCATCCAC